GATAGGCAATCGTTCGATGGGCTGAATTGCACAAAACGCATGATCGCACCGGCTAGCCTGGTGCGCGTTACCATTTATTTCATTCGCGAGTTATGAATTTTCCCGCCATAGTTTTCACGTGCCCGTACGTGAGCCCTATTTATTATGTACTTTCCTCTGTGTTCCAAGTGCTTATTATATACTTTCCCACACAGGTCTTTGAAAGTGAACCATTCCACTTTTTCTGGGCACCAGCAGGAATCGAGCCGTTTGCTTCTCAACACAAATGCTGTGATTGCTAGAGTTTTGTCACATAATGATTTATTGCTTTTTATGCATTTTGTGCTATGTAACAGTGTTACAAAACACATATTGTCGCGGGGTTTTCTGTGTGTGTTTGTGTGTGTGTGTGTGTCCCACATTTTGTCCCGCACTTTCAACTCGGGAACCACAAAAGCTAGGCGGCTGAAATTTTAGCGTAGTACTCTCCGCCAACGGGTGACGCGGCAAATTTAAATTCAGCCTTCCCGTACCTGCGGGTAACTCGTACGGCACCCGCCAACGGATGATGCGGCATATTTAAATTCAGCCTTCCCGTAGCCGCAGGTAACACTTACGGCCCCGTGAAAGCTTTTTACAGGCAAATTAATACCTCAGGAACCACGGAGTCTCGGGAGCTGGAATTTTAGGGTAATGACCCTCTGCCCACGCTCAACCTTGCCCATTCAAATTCAGCGTTCCCTCGCTGTTAGGTATCACCTATGGCCTAGTGAGAATTTTGGCGGTTAAACTATTAACTGGGGAATCACGGAAAGATATTCACCCTTCAAGGTTTCGAATTCAGCTTCCATGCGCTGATGCGTGAAATTTTTAATTATTTTCCAATGTTTGAACTATTTTTGCAAAAGTCCGAAGCAGTGAAAATCATTAATAGGCAATCGTTCGATGGGCTGAATTGCACAAAATGCGTAATCGCACGGGCTAGTCTAGTGCGCTTTGCTATTTATTGTTCTTTGGACCGAGGACCGGGGATGTTGCTTCATGATGAAGCAGTGGCTCCTTGCGCAGTTTTTAGCAAAAAGCAATAAATCATTGTTTGAAAGTTTATTGTTGTGAATAATTAGCTTGTGCCAT